AGATAAATAGAATACTATAATTTAAATATTATTATTGTAATGGTAAGATATGCGCTGCATATTTAAGGATTAAATTCCTCTGTATGTAGTAAAAGTACTATATGTCATAGATTTTTGTTGTGCATAGTTATAATTAAAAGCCATATTGCATTCACTTCCCTTCAAGCTTCATGCTTTGCCTAAGATTATTAAGTTACAGCCACATCTGTAATTTACAGGAGTAGAGTGTGAACTGTAACACATGTCTGTAATGAATTAGCTAAATGGACATATATGCACACACGTAAGATCAAGGCATGCCACATAACACTGTTTATTTCCTCAATAATGAAAAATTCTTACAACATACATATATATTTAAACCCATATATTTTTCTTCTTTGAAAATGAATGGAAGAATAATTTATTCACAAATTAAGTTACATCATATTGTTCCAAAATGTAAATGCTAAAATATTTTTTTTGACCTGTCTGTATTTTTAATATTGCACGGCAATGACTGCAGGTTCTAATTTATTACAGAGATGTGTTTTGTTATTAGTCTTGCTGAAGGACAGAATTCTGAGCAGACAGTTCATTAGATAATTCATTGTAATTAGTTGCATGTAGTTGTCATATCTGATTTGACAATTTGCAAGTCACTACTAACTGTTAACTTGCAAATCTGTACATTTATTTATTGCTCCATGACAACACTGCAAATGTAAAACCAATTCCCATTATGTGACAGGAATGGGGAGATTAAGTAAAGTGATACTATTAATATATACTGTATGTGAAGAGATTAAATGCAGATTCGTTCATCTCCCTGTACCATCAGCTGCTTTTATCAACATACAATTCTCTATTTTTTTATAAAATTAAACATATTTGACCAGTATTACTCTTTGTCTTATTTCACTCATCCAGGCAGCTGGCCAACCAGCAGGGACATGGACTTGCTGTGAACAGTATTAGGGCATGTTATCATCTTCACCCACCTGCTTGGGGATCTCGTTGCCAACAGATTCCTCACTGCTTGTAGCTGAGGACGTTACTTCATTACTTGTCTTAGAAGATGTAGTTTCTGAAATTTCAGAACTGTCTTCAGTTTCTTCTTCAGCTCCCTCTGTAGGCTTTACATCAATGACTTTCACATGAAGCACCAAGTCTGAGTCATCATCTTTGATCGATGTTTCATTAACGGTCACAATATGACCATCAATCACCTGGAAAGGAAGTATGTGTGATTCTAAGTGACAGTAAATTATAAGCAAATAGAAATTTAGAAAGAATGTATTTAGATCCTATTTTAAAGTACCACTTGCTGTGGTAGTCTACTTGGAGATCAGAATTTGAACTTATCTTACTTACATGACCTGAATACTATGAACTGAATCTTTTCTATCCACTCGTCAGTATAATGATATAAATTGCCAGGTAGTGATCAAATTCTGGCAAAACTGATTCAAGCAGGAGGTGAAATATTACTTACTGAGATCCATAAGCTAATTAATCCTATTTGCAGTAAGGAAAAATTGCCTGATCAGTGGAAGGAGTCTATTATTGTACCCATTCACAAGAAGGGTGATGAAACTGACAGTATTAATTATCATGGAATATCACTGCTACCAACTTCATACAAAATTTTATCCAATATTCTTCTCTCAAAGTTAAGTCCATACACAGATGAAATTATTGGGGATCATTAGTGTTGGTTTGCACATAACAGATCAACTCACTGATCAGATCTTTTGCATTCGTCAGATACTTGAGAAATAATGGCAGTACAGTGAGACAGTACATCAGCTATTTGTAGACTTCAGGAAAGCATATGATTCAGTTAGGAAGGAAGTATTATGCAGTATTCTGATTACATTACATTGTATTGCATTCCATGGACCCAAAGTTAGTCAAAATGACTGTAGGATGTGGAATATGTCATATAAATACAAAGCATATGTACAGACCCAATGGAGTTCTCACACAAGATAAACCAAGAATACACAGTGACTACATACAAGGCTATTTAAAGATACATAAGTTATTTTCTAGACAATAGGTATTCATCAACAGAGTAGAATGAATGTGTATTTAAGTATCGTTTCAGTGCTATTTTAAATCGTGCCTTTTCATTCATAAGACCTTTGAGATCAGATGGCAGGTTAATAAAAATGTTGATCCCAGCATAATATGCGCTTTTCTGAAAGCATGCGAGGTTAGCAGCTGGTTTATGAAGGCAGTGTTTGTGTCTTTGTTAATACTGTGTACATCTGCATTCATCTGAAAATGTTCTTCATTATTTGTAATGAAGTTTATTAATGAATATATACACGTATATTCACAAGGCAAAGTTAAGATCTGTAGTCTCTTAAATAGATCTCTACAGGAATTACGGGATTTGACACCCATCATGATTCTAACAATTTTCTTTTGCAATGTAAATACCTTTTTACTGTCAGATGAATTACCCTAGAAAATTATTCCATACTTCATTAAAGAGTGAAAATAAGCAAAATAGAGTTTGGGGTACCCGTGAATCTAGTTAGGCTGATTAAAATGTGTTTAAATGAAACATATAGTAAAATCTGTATAGGTAAACATTTGTCTGATAATTTTCCTAATCAAAATGTTCTAAAACAAGGAGATGCTTTATTGCCACTGCTTTCCAACTTTGCTTTAGAATATGTCATTAGGAAGGTCCAGGAAAACCAGGTGGGACTGAAATTAAATGGGACATATCAGCTGTTGGCCTATGCTGATGAAGTGAATCTACTGGGTGATAATATAGACACCACAAAGAAAAACATACACTTTAATTGATACTAGTAAGGATGTTGGTCTACGTAGGAGTAAACACAGAGAAAACTAAGAATATGTGGCTATCTCATCACAAGAATGAAGTGTAAAATTGTTACATAAATATAGCTAACAGAAGTTTTGAAAATGTTGCACAATTCAGATGTTTGGGAACGACTATAACAAATCAAAACCTGATTCAGGAGGAAATTAAGAGGAAACTGAATTCAGGTAATGCTTGCTACCATTCAGTCTGGAACCTTCTGTCTCCTTGTCTGCTGTCTAAAAACATAAAAATTAGAATATACAGAACTATAGTTTTGCCTGTGGTTCTGTATGGGTGTGAAATTTGGTCTCTGACATTAAGGGAGGAACATAGACTGGGGGTGTTTGAGGACAGGGTGTTGAGGAGAATATTTGGACCAAAGAGAGATGAAGTGATGGGAGGTTGAAAAAAACTGTATAATGAGGAGCTTCATAACTTGAACTCTTCTCCAAGTATAATTAGAATGATCAAGTCAAGGAGGGTGAGATGGGAAGGGCATGTAGCATGAATGGGGGAGAAGAGGAATGGATATGGGATATTGGAGGGAAAGCCAGCAGGAAAGAGACCACTAGGAAGACTAAGATGTAGGTGGGTGGCCAATATTAAAACGAATGTTAGAGAGACAGGATGGGATGGATTGGATTGCATTGATTTGGCTGAGGATAGGGACCAGTGGAGGGCTCTTGTGAACACGGTAATGAACCTTTGGGTTCCATAAAATGCTGGAAAGTTCTTGAGTTCAGCTGCACAATTGGCAGCTTCTCAAGAAGGGCTCGGCTCCACGAGTGAGTGAGTGAACCCTTTTAACTGGACAGTACTACAGGTATCAGAGTACTTCATTATTCCACACAGTGATTTGAATTTTCACGCTTTCATCTGAAAACCAGCCACAGCAGTATATAAATGAAAATTACCTTTGTTGTGGATGTTGTGTTGCCCTTATTCCAGTCGAAGTCACTAAATGAATTACCAATCTGAGACCTCAGTCTTGTCACTAGGCCTGTAAAAGACACATAATCTTTTTATGGACAAACGTCTATGTTTTTCACTTAGTAATGGTCAAGTGGGATTTGTGGTGGACAAAGTGGCATTGGGGCAGGTTTTCTCTGAGTACTTCGGTTTCCCCTGCCACTCTTCATTCCACCAGTTGCTTCACAATCACCCTCACCTATCATCTGGGACTGGTACAATAGGCCAGAAGTGGCTGCAGTGCAAGGGACTTAGTCCCGCCCCACTAGCAATAATAAAAAAAGATATATCTGAATTGTCTAAAGACTAGTTATATTGATCCTCAGGTTCTAATGTTGGACTGTGATCATAACTCCGTAATATATGTTGAACAAAGGTTAATCCAAAATGACTTCCATAATAAACAGTACTATACAATTTCTTCAGTTTTATTTACAAGTGATTTACTAATCACTGAATGCAGGCGGTGGTGCGTGCACACACACACATCTTTCATATAAAAATGATATTAAAACACAGTAATATTTCAACTTCAGTCCTGGACACAATGTGAAACTAGTTGCTATGTGAACAACCTGTCTGGAAGATCAAATCATGAATGTAACTAACTAAACAACTCCATAGAGCAGAGACCTTGAGAAGCTGATGTCACTGAAATTTAAATAATTTTATGGGGCTCAAGAGATCATTACTGTATATTCACAAAAGATCTCTTTTATCACATACCACAAAACACAATGAACTAAGGAATTCCAGAATGCTTATTTCAGTGATACGTGTATAACCAAGGATGATGGTTTTTCTGTTCAGATTACTGATGAATGAATAACACTTTCTCCCCCACTTCCCTCACATGAGGGCCTGAGTGATATTTGGTGAATAAGGTTTACTGACACATCACTTCAAATATAATTTTAATCCAAAAACTGAAATGACCAGTTTATCTTACCATTCATTTATCCTTCACTGTGAAATGTAGAACTTTGATGAATACTTCTGATAGGCTGATTTCTGATGAGACCTGAGATTCTGTTTGACAATGCTAATACTAACTTATCTACTCAGCGGCCTCCGTAGTCTAGGGATAACGTTCCCACTTTGTGACTCAAGGTACGCGGGTTCAAACCTGGCGGAGGTCATGGAATTTTTAAGGGCGGAAAAATTCACGGAACAAGTCCTCCGGGTGGGACTTTAAGCTGTGGGTCCTGTGTCGTAGCTTTACAGCATGTAAAAGAACCTCATGTTTCAAGGGACCTCTGAGCCAAATTCAGGACATTTCCCGCCCAACAGTAGTCTCTAACGCCTCTGGTAGATGGGGGAAGCATCGAGATACCGCTGAGCCAGTAGAGGCCGAACTCGCTGGCTGAGTCGGGACTGATGGCACGCACCAGTACCGGTAGGGTATAGAGACTGGTAGAATATCAGAGGGGGATGCACAATGGACCAATATCTGGTCTAAGTGCATGGGGAAACCCACCCTCTCAAATAACAACAACAACAACTTCTCTACTCTGTAACTAGCCAAGTGCTGGATCAGATATGAGGCCTCAGACTTAAAATCTGAAGAAGTGACATATAGATCTATATAAATAAAGTAATTTTGTAGGTTTGGCATGATGCAATTTTGGATTGCCATAGCAACAAATTATCCTGTGTTAACATGTTACGTGAGTTATATAGTAGATCACAAACATGCAAGCAGTCTTTTGTTTCAGTGTATCATGCCTATTCTGCATGCTGATAATACAGTGCGTACAATCAAGTGCGCGCCGCGGCTGCAATTTGCCGTGAGTCATACCACCGCAGAACGGATGCAGTTGCGGGGAGTGTTGCAACTCCTCCCCGCGACTGCATCCGTTCTGCGGTGGTATGACTCACGGCAAATTGCAGCCGCGGCGTGCACTTGATTGTACGCACTGTATTTCGATGTAGATATGTGAACTGTACTATACTATTTAAAGAAGATGGTTCACAATTGACTATTTGTACATGCTATTTGTGGCAGATAGTGCTAATCCTCTGCTATATCACATCATTTAATACCACATACAACTTGAAAGGAATATGAAATAAAGCAGGATAAATTAATCCTATGAAAGCTTATATAACAAATATTGAGACTTCCCACAGAATTCTCAGTGGGTGTTACACTAGTTGATGTTCAACTGATAAGACAAGCAAGAATTTTATCCTGTAACCTTGAGTCAGTTATACTAGTAATTTGCAATTATGATCTGGATTGCCTGAATTTGATATTTTTTAAATAGCAGTGAAGTAGAAGTCATGATAAGCCTACTGCTCTACAGTACCTTATCACATGTGTGAAAGCATAATCATTTAAAAAAACAGTCATAATTAAATATATTTCTCAGAGAATTTTGAGTAAGTTAAACCTAGTGGTTTTAAGGTTGTTGAAGCAGTTTCTGCAGTTTATTTGCCTATTTATTTAAAAACCACTTTAAATGAGACTAATAGTACAAACTGGTATTGCAAGGAAACTGTAATATTGCACAGTATGAAATGAAAAACTGATTTGTATCTGTAATCAACTACATCTGTGAATTCTGTACATGAGATAATTATCTATTATGGAAATTTTCAACAGTAAGCCCTCAAAGTCATTAACCTCTGAAAGAATATTTGTATTAATATTTTAACTAATGAGGTCCAAACCTTTGATTCTTGCAACCAAGTCAAAGTCTGGGAAGAAGCCATAAAAGTTTGGTAAGTATCCAAAGCCTGGACTAGCAGGCACAGCTACTGCAGGTATGGAAGGCAGAGCAGTGTCATCTCGATCATCCTCTACTGATTCAGTGTCACGTTCTCCTGGAAACATGATTAGAATTGAGTGCTGTAAGGAACTAAGATCCAACACTGAACCCTGGGTGTGCAGCAACTCTCAATTTCTAACATACAAGGTTATAAAGATGATAAATTTATAACAAATATATGTTGATTATTCATGACAATTTGAAAGACAAACAGTACATTTCTGAATTCTGTAGGGCTTCAGCATGAGAAATATATAGTTACTGCACACCTTACTTGGAAATATCACATACTGCAAATAATTCAGTAAATCAAATTCAGGAAGGTCATCAACATCATCTGTATTCCCTCAGCATCTAATTAACCAATAGCCTACAATAAATTAGATCTGAAGAAAATATCTAAATAAGAAACAAAAGTGGAGAGGAGGACACTAGTGAAGTGCATATATTTTCCATGTTTGTACTTTGTGATTTGGCACTGATGTTTAATTATAACAAATACCAACCTATTGCTACTAAGTCAAAGAAACTGTTTAGCAATAAATTATTTTTCCTTGTGTTTCATTACAAATTCACTGTAAAGGTAACTACCACAGTGAAAAATAAAGGTTAAAAGTCTCAGTGAGGTAACAGTTTGTTGAGAACATTAATAGAAGTTGGACTTCAGGTAAAGTTGTTCCTGTGCTTAACTAATTAAGCCCTATGCCATGAAGGCCAGATATGTGAGGCGAATATAGACTCTAACTAGCCATTAACAGTTTTTGAAATTCTGTAAACTGAAACAACAACAACAAAGTTTTGAAAGTAATTCGCTGTCTGCTTGCTACTGGCTAGACAATCTGCAAATATGTTAATGAGATATTCGCAAAGATTGGGAATGTTTAATCACATGTACCGCCACCGGCGTGTCTAAGTCAATATAGTGACTAGGCTATGGGTTCGGCAACTGCAGAAGCGGGGTTCTATTCCTGGCGGGGGCAAAGATTTTTCTCTATACTACCATGTCCAGACAGGCTGTGGGACCCGCCCAGCCAATGGACACCTGATGTCCAATAGCCAGTGGTTAATGGGGGCACTTTCTCGTGGGGTGAAGCGGGGGTGAAGGTGAATGGCAATGACCACTCACCTTCATCTAGCTTCGAGGTCAAGAATACGTGGAGCTATACATTCACATCCCATACGTCCTCATGTCATGTTGCTTAATTACGCATAGGGACTACCTGTACTTTATATGGCTTCGACGCTTACGCAACGCGGGCCTCCAAATTCGAGGGGTCCTTGGATTAGTGACCACTTTACACAGCAGTAAAATATATACAGTGCGTTCATCTGACAGTTCGCTGAAAATCACTCGACTCTTCAGATGGAAGAGACAGAGGTATACCTGATTTCGCTGGGATCATGGATACCTTGTATTTACAGAGAACATGAACAGAGAAACGTCTAATCCAACTTATTCGCGAGGAACCAGATGATTATCCACAATGAGGGGTGGAAATGCCATCTCGGGACTAAACAGACACTTCAGATCTGTAGAAAAGCCCCGGAGAATGACCAACACATATTAAAAGGAAATAATTACAATGTAAGCCCCAGCATACATTTGTACAGGTATTGTTGTTGGGATGGATAGATCATCATCATCATCAGTAATCTGTCAAGACGACAGGTCCACAGTCTCTTTCAAAACAATTCCTCCACTTAATGCGATCTAGAGCTTTCTCCTTCAAATGACAGTATCCTCTTCTGTCCCCAAGGTCATCCAGCATCTTCTTACGTCTTCTTCCTCGTCTTCTTGTCACTTCTATCCGCCCATCTATCTTT